GGTCCTTATGGCCTTGTTTGCTGGGACTAACTTATATTGTAGCTAAAATATAGGGCCTACACATTCTGATCAGGGCCTGCAACTTTTCAAGGTTAAGGGCAAACACTGTATATAAGCATGACAACTTAGTAAAGATTAAGAAAATAATATCATGACACTGAAACTTTTATTGTGACATAAAAGTGATGTCAGAATATATTAGCAATATCATCCCAATTCATTGCCAGATATTGAATGTTTAATTACATGACTGTTTTACAACATAGCAAAATGTAACAATCACCACACCATGTACACATTGCAACAGTGTACTATCATTGGCAATAAAATGTGTTGATAACAGTTCATATAGTCTTCATCGTTGTGAACACTATTTCGTAACAGTCAAAAGATTACACAACAAACATAGCATGATCAGTAGTCATGGAAGTACACAGATGTATTGTTTGTTTAAAGAAATGTCCTGAAACAAGCATGATGACATAAAAACTGACTGCAAAAACTATGCCAAAATAATCACATCAGGTGCGGATCCAGAGGGCAGGTGAGGGTGCCCCCCTACCCCACCCCACCAAGATCCTTTATCCGCCCCATGTATATTATTCTCCTTGAAGAAACATGCATACAAAATGCACCATATAGCAGTTATCAGTACATCACCATTGTGTCATCACTTCAGTTATATGTCAGCCTGTAAATAACCGACAGGATAAATCATTACCAGCTTCCGGAGTCATGATATCATGACATACAATCTACCAAGTCACACAGCCTGACAAATGGATCCATACAGTTTCCACTTTCAACTACCATAGGCTGGTGGAGACAAGAAGTGTTATAATTGGTAAAGGTAAACCAGTTAAGTCATGAAACATGTAGTGCCTTCAACAGCAATTAAACAATAAATCTTCTGTAATACACCGAAATATGAGAACAGCAATGACACTGAGCTTCATTAAAATCAGAAAAATATCCTTTAGTTTTTGTACAGGCACCCGTCCAGTTTGTCACCATGCTGATGTTTGTGTGAACCAGTCCAGACTGATCCTGCTTCCCCTGGGTCCCCAGTCACACCAGGGTCTACAACTGTCTGACATTTCAACAAGGAACATGGCAGCTGATGGAGTTGGTTGGTGTCCTATGTATAGTCACTGCTTAGGAACTTGGACTGGAACTACATGTCTATCAGAGTAGTATGACAACATATGTTAGTCTATCGCTGAAAGCTGGCAGTGCAGCTGAGACTCTTTAACAAACCATCGAGGGTATGGCTGTATCAAACAAGTATCACAATTTCCATGTCACAGAATGTTGATGTTCTACCTTTTGAATGCATCAAAAATGAATGTGATAAGACCTGCAACACTCTAAATCCAGTATGCCTGTCTATAAATAATGTTATATATTGCAATGCCGTGATGGTATTCAGCTCCTGTGTAACATATCCCATAGTGTGATGTGCTACAGTAGATGCAATTCAACATCCCATTGCCACAGCAGATGCAATTCAACATCCCACTGCAACCGTAGATACAATTCAACATCCCACTGCCACAGTAGATGCAATTCAACATCCCACTGCCACAGTAGATACAATTCAACGTCCTACAGCCACAGTAGATACAATTCAACATTCCACTGCCACAGTGGATACAATTCAACATCCCACTGCCACAGTAGATACAATTCAACATCCCACTGCCACAGTAGATACAATTCAACATCCCACTGCCACAGTAGATACAATTCAACATCCCACTGCCACAGTAGATACAATTCAACATCCTACAGCCACAGTAGATACAATTCAACATCCCACTGCCACAGTAGATACAATTCAACATCCTACTGCCACAGTAGATACAATTCAACATCCCACTGCCACAGTAGATACAATTCAACATCCCACTGCCACAGTAGATACAATTCAACATCCTACTGCCACAGTAGATACAATTCAACATCCCACTGCCACAGTAGATGCAATCAACATCCCACTGCCACAGATACATCAACATCCCACTGCCACAGTAGATACAATTCAACATCCCTGCCACAGTAGCCACACAATTCAACATCCCACTGCCACAGTAGATGCAATTCAACATCCCACTGCCACAGTAGATACAATTCAACATCCCACTGCCACAGTAGATACAATTCAACATCCCACTGCCACAGTAGATACAATTCAACATCCACTGCCACAGTAGATACAATTCAACATCCCACTGCCACAGTAGATACAATTCAACACAATTCAACATCCCACTGCCACAGTAGATACAATTCAACATCCCACTGCCACAGTAGATACAATTCAACATCCCACTGCCACAGTAGATACAATTCAACATCCCACTGCCACAGTAGATACAATTCAACATTCAGACATCCACTGCCACAGTAGATGCAATTCAACATCCCACTGCCACAGTAGATACAATTCAACATCCCACTGCCACAGTAGATACAATTCAACATCCCACTGCCACAGTAGATACAATTCAACATCCCACTGCCACAGTAGATACAATTCAACATCCCACTGCCACAGTAGATACAATTCAACATCCCACTGCCACAGTAGATACAATTCAATTCAACATCCCACTGCCACAGTAGATACAATTCAACATCCCACTGCCACAGTAGATACAATTCAACATCCCACTGCCACAGTAGATACAATTCAACATCCCACTGCCACAGTAGATACAATTCAACATCCCACTGCCACAGTAGATACAATTCAACATCCCACTGCCACAGTAGATGCAATTCAACATCCTACTGCCACAGTAGATGCAATTCAACATCCCACTGCCACAGTAGATACAATTCAACATCCCACTGCCACAGTAGATACAATTCAACATCCCACTGCCACAGTAGAAACAATTCAACATCCACTGCCACAGTAGATGCAATTTCAACATCCTACTGCCACAGTAGATTACATTGCCACAGCATCAATTCAACTCCCACTGCCACAGTAGATACAATTCAACATCCCACCCACTGCCACAGTAGATACAATTCAGTAACATTCAACATCCCACTGCCACAGTAGATACAATTCAACATCCCACTGCCACAGTAGATACAATTCAACATCCACTGCCACAGTAGATACAATTCACACATGCCCAGTAGATACTGCCACAGTAGATGCAATTCAACATCCCACTGCCACAGTAGATACAATTCAACATCCTCCACTGCCACTGCCAACAGTAGATACAATTCAACATCCACTGCCACTGCCACAGTAGAAACAATTCAACATCCTACTGCCACAGTAGATGCAATTCAACATCCCACTGCCACAGTAGATACAGATTCAACATCCCACTGCCACAGTAGATACAATTCAACATCCCACTGCCACAGTAGATACAAATTCAACATCCCACTGCCACAGTAGATACAATTCAACATCCTACTGCCACACTGCCACAGATCAGATGATAATTAAAATGCCCTAGACTGCCACAGTAGATACAATTCAACATCCCACTGCCACAGTAGATACAATTCAACATCCCACTGCCACAGTAGATACAATTCAACATCCCACTGCCACAGTAGATACAATTCAACATCCCACTGCCACAGTAGATGCAATTCAACATCCTACTGACCACAGCAGATCCACAATCATCCACTAAAATCCCACTGCCACAGTAGATGCAATTCAACATCCCACTGCCACAGTAGATATTAAATCCTACTGCCACAACATCAATTCAACTGCCACAGTAGATACAATACAACATCCCACTGCCACAGTAGATACAATACAACATCCCACTGCCACAGTAGATACAATTCAACATCCCACTGCCACAGTAGATACAATACAACATTTATGCCATATGGAGCAGGAAACACAGTCTGAGGTTTCCTCATGGTTACAGTACATGATGTAAGGATGTGCCAGCATGATCCACCACATGGGACTGAACATGTTTCACACTGATATGTTAATTACAAATAAAGTAGGAATGCATTATGAAAGTCAACATGCATGTACACATTCACATGAAATGACTGTTTCACAGTTACTGGTATTACAATCTGCCATTCTAATCATTATAAAGCCTGTGTAAGGTTTGCCATAAACTGGTACATCTAAAATTTAGTATTTATCATGAGTTAATGTGTTACATTCCATATAACTTATCAATTATACATGTTTCATATTCCATAGAAGTTATCACCTGTACAGTATGTGTCATATTCCATATAATTAAGTTATCAATTGTGCACATGTGTCATATTTCATATTCTTAAGTTATCAATTGTACACGTGTCATATTCCATATAAGTCATCACCTGTAAACATGTGTCATATTCCATATCAGTTATCACCTGTAAACATGTGTCATATTCCATATCAGTTACCACCTGTACACATGTGTCATATTCAATATCAGTATCACCTGTACAGTGTGTGTCAAAATTCCATATCAGTTATCACCTGTACAGTGTGGGTCAACAGCAGTATATAGATGGGATAAAGCACGTCACTGGAATTAGGATGTTTCCACCACTTTCTACTATGTTTGCCATATGTATCTCACCAAACCGTGATGGCGGGGTACCTACACTACACCGGGAGGGGGAAGGGGATGCTTGAGTGAGGATACATCTGTCTACAGCAGTATTTTCAGATTAAGATCAAACAATTCAGGATTGCATGACCATGTTTACGGATGAACTCTGCTACTGCAGTAATCGTCACTGTGTCGGCAGATATGGTAAATGTACGGTATACTTGTAGGTCGGACGTGGTGACTCTATCTGTCTAGTCTGACTCACACAGCAGCGCTGGAAACTTGCACAGATGAATGTGTTCGTTGAAGAGTCTCTAATGTCACGCAAACATAAGTCGAAAATTAGTACAACTAGCAGATTAGCATGTGCTCAGATATAGCTATCTACAGGTCGATCAATAATAACCATAGTGTAAAAATTCCACAAATTCCAGTACTCACGAAAGATGTTTCACCGTTTTCAGCCAGTCGCCACTTCCTTCCCTCCTTGCAACGGAGAGCTCAAAACCTCGCTGAAAGAGGGTTGCGTTTTGGCGCTGAGCTCTCATTTATTTTCATGTCCCCCGCAGTATAAAAAGTAGATTGCGCCTTACCTGTTAGGGGATACTGAACACCCTCAACATTACTTAAACGTTATTCCGAATTATCAGTGTTTACAATACTATAGCTGTCCCTAGAAAGCCAACAAGGTACATAGCTAAATCATCAAAAGAGCGGCTGAACAGCTGTAAGCTTTGAATACACAATGCCATTTAGAAAGTGGTCAAATGTAACATATGCAGTGTTTGCCCTTAACCCTGAATCAGAATGTGTAGGCCCTATATTTTAATAATGGAATAATACTCTTAGTTAGTGGGGATGAAAACGCTGTCGGCCATAAGGACCTGCAGAAAACAAAAGTTGTGGGTCCGAGTGGTTTTCAGTCGACTTCGGGTCTAAGGACCGACGATAATTTCGAACGCTGAACATGTTATATTTGGGATTACACTTTACACTTCGTAAACTTTACACGTTACACTTTTGTTTGGGATTACACTTTGGGATTAACATATGTTACAAGTGTAAGCTTTCTTTAATAACAATTAAAGAGCATCTCTCTCTCTCTCTCTCTCTCTCTCTCTCTCTCTCTCTCTCTCTCTCTCTCTCTCTCTCTCTCTCTCTCTCTCTCTCTCTCTCTCTCTCTCTCTCTCTCTCTCTCTCTCACACACACACACACACACACACACAGTTTTATGCGGTTTATGCCCGGACTGTCGACAACAAGAAATAATCCGTCCAAATTACTTGTCGACAGTCCGGGGAAGGGGAGATGATGTTGTACATGAGTGACTTCACGCCCAGTGTTCTCGATATTAACAAACCAATTAAAAACAGAGTGTGATATATAGTAGTAGACAATATATTTATTCAGTCAATATAACAACATGCATGTATCATGCATGTATCATATGTCACACAATATAACATAATTGTATATATATTTCATAAAGCTGACACAATATATTTGTGTGTGTGTTTTATATAAATAAGTGATTTCTGCAGGTGTATAAGTAATAAATATATAAAAGATGAGTCCAGTTATTTCTTCTTGCCAAAACTCTTTTATATGTGCACTAAAGTAATCTGAATGTTCAGCCAAGATGAAGCAACTCTGACACATGGTCTGTGTAATTCAAGTCAGTAAGTCTTGAAGGTCGGCCTTCAAGGATCGAATCCTTGCGTCGATGATTCGGTAGCGACGTCTACGGACGGGATCTCTCTGCTGTCCTTGGATCTGCTGAATTTTTACTTCAGTAGATGAATGTTCTTTTTGTAACATTCGCACAACCTTAAATACATTCGGGTGTGTCTTCATGGCATACTTGTTGATTTTGTTGTGCCAACCTTCCAAATTATTGTTAGTTCTGTGTCCATCATTTTCAAAATGATTCCAAGTTGGTAATGGTAATCCTTCCACTCGCATAACGTAAAATAACAGTCTGTTTTTGCAACCTTAATTCTCTTGCAAATTGTTAAAAAGACATTCTCTTTAATCAACTTAATTCATTTACTCATGATACGAGCATAGCTGTAGCCACCATAGCCACTTGCAAACCACTAAGCAAACATTCTCTTTCATTAATTAACACCGTCACGGTATGTTGACCACGCGATGTCGACACTCCGGGTTTTTTTTTTCGACGGTTAGGGACATCCTATTTTTCATTTGTCGACAGATCGGGCTGACACCGTTTTATGCTTACACCCTGACTGAAGGTAATTGTGTAATAATGCACTTATTCAGATCCGAACAAATCCTGGTTATATATAGTGGGGCAGGCGATTTACAACTGGTAGGTTTCACGTTTTCTGACTGCTGTAACTGTGACTGAATGTGAACACAGTTTGGTAGAGAGAAGTTCTGTAGACTTCACCTGCAGGGGTGGAGGTAACGTGTAATAACTCTTCGGTATGTGCATATTGTAGCATTTCTCAAATAGTGATCGCGATTGGCCTGTTGAATCGCTATGACGTGTTGAAAACAGAACGATATGATCTCACTCATTTCAGCACAGCTCGTCATAAACTGATCGAGCGTTTGACTTGTGTCCCGGTTCATTTTCTTTCTTCTGAAAAACAAAATAGATCTATTCGTTTTAGTGTTGGTCATATTTTCTATACTAAACAATTTCCCTTTATGCATTGTCACTCAAAACTGTGTTTGAAGTGTACGTACTTACATTTTCAAATGTGGGGGTAGGCCTACGCCATATATATGGCATTATTTCCAAACGAGGCTAGTTTTTGTTTTCATACATAGGGTTAACAAAGAAGAGTAGACCCGTGTAGACTTAAGGTAAGGATATAGGTCCCCAGCAGTCTGTGCCTGTTCAAAGAGGCGACTAAAAGGATCAGGTGCAGGTGACTTGGTAGATTGTGTGTTAGCGTTGCTGAATTAGTGGATAGATTCTCACGAGGTCCACAGATTTGATTATTTTAACAGACCGCTGATATATCGCTGGAATATGGCGGAGTACTTCCTTACACACAAGCGAACAATACTATATGTGACGTATTGTTTAAAAGCTAAAATAAATGTATACTGATACATTTGTATTTCCACCTAAATTTAGAAATATGGTTATATCATCATGAATATTAGAAATAGTTAAATAAGACCTTCGTCATTTTGAGTTTCTCTTTCGTGGTCCTTAAAAAGGTGAGATTATTTAGGCCCCAGTCCTCTGTTCTCTATGAAAGCCTGCTGGGGTGTCAATTGAAAGACCAGTGTCAACCGCTGATCAAAGTACACTTTAATTACAACGTATCACCAACAACTGTAACTGGCTCTAATGGTACGTGAGCTCCCTTCGGTGGGACTATAGTATCGTTATTATTTGTGCAGATGGGAAAATCTTGCTTCGTATTTCACAAAATTACCTGGGGATTCTGTGTAAAGATTACTGCAGTCTATTATGTTTATCTTATGAGCCGGCTAAGTTGGTCGGGTGCACGCGTCATCAGGCTCGTGAGTCGGGGAAAAATGGCGGGTATGTTTGGAAATGGCTACCAATATAATATTTAGCCAGACAGGTGTTATGTCCATCACATGATTCCATGTAAAATGGACATCAGGCTATGTGAGAATCAACGGGACAGTTGTTAATCCGTCCCAAATACTTCAACTCTGGGATAAGGCTTATAGTGACTTGGTTGAGACGCAAAGCGGCCTACCTTGATGTCTGCTTCAGTACCCGGTCGGCCTAAATCCAGACACGCCTATTCACTATACGTAACCAGCTAACGTACAGATCATAATTTATGGCTGGGGGTGGGGGCTGATGATGATTAATATGGAGAAGCATGTACAATGTGAATGACACCATCATCCCTAAAATTAATATACAGAGTAAACCCTCACCCCCACCCCACCCGACCCCCGTTTAAAAAATCATTATGACGCCCCTAGCCATAAATTAAGAACGGTCCCTGAGTGTTAAAAACAACATTCATCCACCCTACCCCATTCTTATTCTCTCGCACTCTCTTTCTCCGCCTTATCCAAGTCGAATTACTCAACCACAAAACACTTGCCTAAGAAAAATCTCGGCAATTATGAATTCCAAATTTATTTTCATCAACAGTAATATTCAAACTGCCATGAAACTCTTCTATGGTCGCAGTTACCGTCAGACGTAACAGTGGTTATTCACTCTGTGTAAATGTCAGCATGGTTTCTCGCAGCCCGGGAGCATACTTTACTCTTTTCATGTCAATGTATTGCTGGTGATTTTAAGCCACGTGTTTCGATACTTGGAACAGATGACTGCCTGGTTGGTTTCTTTGGTGACCTGAAACAGCAGCATGTCGAAATATTTGCAACTAATTTTGTTTTGTTTTGTCAGTAAATAGAACCCATATAAAGAAATTACACAATATATTAGTATAAATTCAAACACACGTCTTGTCCACTCGTACCACGTTACACGACCACTAAAAGGGATTATATAGACTAACATCAAGTCTCGGAAATGAACGTGTTTTACAGCAAAAAAAACAGTTCGAAAATTAAAATCATAAAATATAATAGAAAAGGAATCCAGAGAAAAGGAATCCAGAGATTTTCTTCTTCACGAAACTGTGGTAATTTAGACTTGTCACACATTCTATACTTGCATGGGCCGTATTGGGTATATTTGGTTTAGGGTCTGTATGACAGACTAGGGACTACATGGCGTGAGATCATTTACCTTCTTGCTAACCCCAACGCTTTATTTAACACCTTGATCCGCCGTTGGTTCAGTAATGAAGGTGGAGTCGATTTCTGAAACACAATGTGAGTTACGCTAAACAAGCGACTGCAGGTGACCGCACGTAACCTCGGTACTGGCCCCAAGTTTAGCTCTAAGTCAATGCCTTCACGGCGTGTGGTTATGCTGAGCGAGTAAATGTCAACAATAAACCATATATCACCCTGAATACAGTCTCACCAGTGATATTAATGTTACGCCCGTGACGAAATTGTTCTTTTCTATGAGCTGTAGTATGACAATGGGGACACGATAACTTTGATACCTGTGTGACTTTCATCTTCTTACTGCAAATGACCTCCCGCACCACCTCACCGCCACGCTTACCCACGCTGGGGACATCGCCTGGGTCTGAGCTACATCCGCCGTCACGGTGAGGTCGAGTTCCTGTAGGTTACAAAACAGATAAGTCTGACATTTAATCCCAAAAATAAAGTTATCTTATTTAAAAATGTATATACATGTACCCACAGAAACTAAATGTGATCCAACAGGAGCTCAGAACATGTCTTAATTCCAGCCTCGGGGTGAGGCAATCTAGACTTGCCCTATCACTTTACTCAGGGATAATCTACGTCTTCTATTCTCCCTGCTTTACTGGAGCTCAACTTTCTATACGTGCTGTCTGAGATTAGTTACTTAGAGACATACGATTAGTCTGTCTCACCATCATTGAAATATATTATTTTCACTTCAGCGCACCCTTTTCTGCAACGCTAAAGCCCTTAATGAAGCAAGTTTAAGATTCCCCCAGGTTCAGGTACATATATCTCACTGGGGCACCTGTGCAGTTTAAATGGAATTATTTGTTTCCATCAAAAAACATATATATTCAGAGTCTTAGAGTTGGTCTAACATGCCATTAGATACGTGCGGCTGGCTATCCACGCAGGAGTTGAAATCGACTTAACGCATGCAGTAGACACCAGTCAAGTTTTCCTTTGCTACGGTTCAGCGGTATTTGATCTGATCATGTCAGTACCGAAAATGATATACATAAAACATCTTTAGTGGTTCAGTGTTTTGTGGTGTTTCGGATATATACGAACTGATAAGGGAAATGCGGCGTTAATTGACTGCCACTGAGTATGTAAATACACTAGGTTGTGTGAACCGTTGCCCTGTATTATACGTACGTTTCCTCGAACCGAGAGTGAACCAAGTGAGTGAGTGAGTTGAGTTTTACGCCGCACTCAGCAATATTCCAGCTATATGGCGTCAGTCTGTAAATAATCGAGTCTGGACCAGACAATCTAGTGATCGACAGCATGGGCATCGATCTGCGCAATTGGGAACCGATGACATGTGTCAACCAAGTCAGCGAGCCTGACCACCCGATCCTGTTAGTCGCCTCTTACGACAAGCATTGGTTACTGAATATCAATATTCCAACCCGGACCTTCACGGGTAAGTGAACCAAGTAATACCTGTATCTGGAACTGTGTTGGTGTGACCACGGTGTCTTCTGTCAGCAGGAGACTGCCGTGACGTCGGGGCAGCTTGCTCCTCCCACCACAGCGAGTTGGGGGTGTAGCTCGGCAGGTCGGGCACGGGGCAATAGTCCAGGTAGCCATAGTGGTTAGTGAAGCAGCGCTTGGGGCATGGAGCCAACACACACTGGGGAGCAATGGAGCCCGGGGGGAGCTCGGGACGTAATGGTCGTCCATTTAGTGGAGGAAGACTATTGCTTGACGGTGACGTCCTTGAGAACAGTGGCAACCCTGACTGAAGGGACGGTACCTCCGTGTACGTAGGGAGACTTGTGGGTCGGGAGGGTAGCGTATGAGGGTGTTGTTTGAGGTTGGGTCGGGTCGATAGACCATCCGGGAATGGTTCGAAACTGTACTGGGAAGTTGCCGCTTTCAGGTGCGATGGAAACCGATGGTCGGGAGGCAACATATTTTGTTGAAGAGGGAGCTCGAACCGTGTATAAGGACACTGGGGTGCCCATGGTGAGTTCCACTGAATATGGGAATATTGGGGATGTGGGGGTCTATAAGGTATAACATAGCTTAAGTGAAGGTTGGTTCTTTCATATTGCGATGGAGGGCCTTGGTTGTTAAAACGTATGTTTGAAACAGGTGACATGTCAGAGTTTTCATAAGTCGCGGCGGGTGAAAGATAGCTCGCTGTCAGATCATGCTTAACAGGGGATACAAATGGACAACGTGCTGGTTGAGGTGATGATTCGGGGTAGCTGGACTTTGACAGTGGCGACTGGCTGCTGGAACAGTTGGTCAACGAGTAACTTCCATTATGTCGTGATGGTCTGCAACCGTACATAGAGTATGCCACATGAGGTTCTCCTGGTTGTCCTCTCATTAAAGGGGACTGGTGGCACAATTCAACTGTGTTATTTGGTACAGTTGGGCATTGTTTTACATGACTTGACGTGTACAGTTGAGAGCCACAGCCGAGTTGATTGATGTGTGCATGACCTGGGCTAGGCACTGGGTGTCGCGGATCTGCGACAGGTCCACACCCAAATGTTGCTTCTCTTAGGGGAAACTTGGCAGGTTGATTGCCGTGACATCGTCGAGGCATGGGTTGCTGTGCACGATACCAGTTTGGTTGATGGATAGCGTGTTTTCTACTATCTGGAGATCCTTGGTCGTATCTGCCCCTATCTGAGTGGGATACAGACCCTTGCTTGTATCTGCCCAAATCGGAGTGAGCTGCAGATCCTTGGTTGTATCTGCCCGTAACGGGTTGAGATGCAGATCCTTGGTTGTATCTGTCTGTAACGGGGTCAGATGCAGATCCTTGGTTGTATCTGTGCGTAACGGGGTGAGATGCAGATCCTTGGTTGTGTCTGTCCGTAACGGGGTGAGATGCAGATCCTTGGTTGTATCTGTCCCTATCGGGGTGAGATGCAGATCCTTGGTTGTATCTGTCCGTAATGGGGTGAGATGCAGGTCCTGGGTTGTATTTGCCCGTAACCGGATGAGATGCAGATCCTTGGTTGTATCTGCCCGTATCGGACTGGGATTCAGATCCTTGGTTATACAGGTCCCTAGGAGTTTGGGGTAAATATCCTGGGTGGAACAGGACCCTATCGGGGTAAGATGCAGGTCGTGGATTGTATCGGTCATTATCAATTCGAGGCGCATATCCTGACTGCCGTGGCAAGTCTCTGCACTGGCGCAGCTCAGCTTGTTGGTGGCCAGTGATTTCATTGGACTGAGGAGGTCTGGTGCTCAGAGCTAGAAACGACACAACTGATAAATTAGCATCACAATTAGGCAGTCATCTTGTCATTGATATGAACATATATCTTTCAACGAAAAGCGGTTCATAACTTATCTAAAAAGTATATTAAAGACGAGTGCACAGATTTTCTTCATTCCCTGAAACGGCAGTAATCTAGACATGGAAATATTGCAGACTTGCACAGGCTGTACTATTCAGAATACAAAATATTGAGAAGAGGGACCGAGGTCCATACATCGGACATCTAACTACACCCATTGACGCCTGACGCCAGTAACAAATCTCTCATAATACAGAAATATTGTAAGCGATATGAATTAAACGTTTTCTTGAAGTGGATCTTCTCGGTTCTTTTAGATAATGTGATGGACATTACACGTATAGTACAATTGGTACTTTCCCCTCAGAATTGAAGATAAAACCAAAGTATCGAATCGGTTTACAACTGCAGGCTATGATTATACGTCATACGTACCTGTATGCATTCTTGTAAAACCTTCAACTAAACTGATGCATACTAAGATCCACTGGATGATTACTTTGTAACCATAGACACTACAACGTCATTGTAGTATGACGTCATGGGGCCATTGTGTACAATCGATGTTCTGTGACGTCAAATCTTACGCTCGAGTAACTGCATGTATGTGGCTTTCTCTTTACGTTGTTTGCTTTTCGTGGTTTGGCTGGGCACATTTTGAACTACCTAAACGTGTAGATTTCCACGCTTGTGTCGCAAATCAAAAGTGGAACTAGTCCAGATGTTAGTTCTCTATCAAGTTTTGGTATTTTCGTCCGACATATCAAACAAGGTTATGCAAGTTATTTTCGTTCTTTCCCTGTTACATGAAAGTTTTAGTTGCCCCAAAAGTACCTTTTTCAGTACTATATTTTCCCGCTATACTATAATCGCAGGAATGGTTTCTGTCTTCTAAATTCAAAATCGAATTACTATTTCGTACTTTTGAACTATAAAACGTATGAAATTATTTTTTTAGAAAACAACAAATGTGCTATTTATTGTTTTAAAAACTGAGCAATGAATAAACAATTTAAAAGTTTTAACTATGTGATAATGAAAAAAACAATACCAACATTTTAAAAACAGTACTGGTATAGAAATAATATGTTACGAATGCGTATCATGGTGATCTAAGTACGATGATGATTTGGAGATTTTACGGGCGCTTCTCTGACTTGATGCTTGTGGTCGAAAGAGGGGTGAATATATGTTACAGGGAATGTGTGAAACCAGGGATTTCACGTAATCCCTGAAAGAGTCAGTGATTTCATGAAATCCCTGTGACCCCCAGGGATTTCATGTATTCCCTAAAATTTCCAGGGATTTCATGCAATTACGGAAATATTAGCTCAGGGATGTCATGAAATCCCTGTAAGCCTTTATTGAAAGAGAGAACACCACATTTATAATGCGAGTACAGAGTATATCCTGGTAAAATTCATTTGTTGGGAGAAGATAGACTGTTATAATACAAGCTATTACACTTCAGTATCACTTTAAAACATTTACAACGTATCGATTTACATTGGTTAGGACCACAGTTACATTTCTGGAAACCCTGACCACCACAATTCCACACAGCTGTGAGGAGAAACAGTTCTTTGTCCATTGTCACCTCATTCGTAGAAAGAAGACGCTGAGGACAAACATGAAATATGTGCTTTGAAAAATACCTTTTTCTTCCCAAACCCATATCCCAAAGCGGGATGGTGTATATTCAAAGTTATTTCTATGAATGGCCTAGTCTGTTTAACTTAAACGTCTATATTCAATAAAGAAAACAAACTGTTTGAAAAACCTCGCTAAATGTTTTAATGCTATACCCCAGTAAAATGTTGAGCCATTCCATACGGAATTATGAGAGACACTTGTGCCACAATATACAGAGTATAATATATGAATATTAAAAATGCAATAATAAGGTTACAAGTTACATTAAGAAGATATACAAATTTGCAGTACGCTTTTTCAGAATATTAAGGCAGGTTTTGGCAGATAAAAACGATACACCTGGACGAGCTTGAAAACAACTAACCTTTTCAACATACCCAGATTTTTTTAAAAACCATCTAAAAAGACTTGTACATTTAGATAAATGTTGCAATCGCTCATCAGCATACTAAGGACAATGTAATGAAACATGACACTCATCTTCAATAAAATCTTTACAGTTTCGATTCTAAGCGGCGCTACCACACATCTAAACACAGCTAGTGCTTTTCTCATAGAGCGAGACATTACAATTAACATAAAAATCACTGCCAAAATCCAACTTTAAAGTACAGTACGTGTGTAACTTATCACCTCCCCTACCAGTTAAACAAACTTGTAAAAGGTTCTGTTTCCATTTATAAAGGAAATCGCTAAAAACAACCTCTGTCACTTTTGAAACTACAACAGGAATATTGATACACAACATTGATATCGTTTTATCATCCAAAACTGTGTTCCACAGGAGATATCGCTTGTGTGAGATCAAACAATATCTCCTAGGAGATATCGTTTTGACAGTAGATTTTGTACAATGCCCTGACAATGCTATGACGTCATGTACTTGATGACGTCACAATGCTATGACATCGCTACACTGCAAGTCTAATGGCAGTAAAAAGTTCAGAGATGTACATTTTTCATTGTAAATTAATGAAGAGTGATTTTGGATGATAAATAGAATCTCACCCTCGTGTCTTCTGATATCAAATATATCAACACTCGTTGATAAAGTAAAAATGTCCTCGGCAAGCCTCGGATATTTGTAACTTTATCAACTCGTGATGATATAATTGATATCAGAAGACACTTGGGTGAGATTCTCTATATATCAACACCCAAAGCCAAATTATTAATCATAAGAATAAATAGAGAATCTCACCCGAGTGTCTTTTGATATCAAATATATCACCACGAGTTGAAAAGTAACAAATATCCGAGGCTTGCCGAGGATATTTATACCTTTTATCAACGAGTGTTGATATATTTGATATCAGAAGACACGAGGGTGATATTCTATTTATCATAAAAAATCACTCTTCATTAGTTTTCAATGAAAAATGTACATCTCTGAACACAGTACTGCAATTAGATTTGCAGTGCAGCGATGTCATAACATTGTGACGTCAACAAGTTCATGACGTCATAGCATTGTCAGGCCATTGTACAAAATCTACTGTCAAAACGATATCTCCCAGGAGATATCGTCTGATCTCACACAAGCGATATCTACTGTGGAACACAGTTTTGGATGATAAGATGCACTAGTGTGATGCCGCGATAAGACTTTGGGTCTCTCGGGTTGTCCGCTCCAGACTTAGGGGTAGGGGTAATGATCCCCTGGGCCGAGTTGGAGGGTACATGACCAGTCTCATAACATGTAGAAAACAGTTTATGAAGAGAATCTATACAGATGTCATTTGTTAAAACATCAACTGGAATATTATCGGTGATTTCCCTCTCTTAGCTTGACTTAGTGTCATCAGTAAATAGTCAAAGTGTTTAACTCCTACGACCTAAGGGGTGAAATGAGACCAAACAGTAAAGCCGTAAGAAAATTAACTTGGTACCCCGACTCAAGGAAGTAATTAGCCCAAAGTGTCATCGGTAAATTGTCAAAGTTTTCAACTCCTAAGAACCAAGGGATGAAATGAGACTCAACAGTAAAGTTTTAAGCTACAAACATGAATTTCACACATTCACTGATATCCTAACAGGGAATGTGTGTAATGGAACACCATGAAAATCCCTTGAAATTTTAGGGATCACGTGAAATCCCTGGTTTCACACATTCCCTGTAACATATATAGGTTTGCGTCATTTTTTTTGGATGAAATTGAATTCGGAAATTAGGGACCGTTAATAATTTATGTCTTTTTTTTTTTTTTTGTTGTTGTTTGTTTGGGGTTTTTTGGGGGTTTTTTTTGGGTTTTTTTTGCTATTTTTTTTTGTGTGTGTGTGTGTGTGTGTGTGTGTTTGGTGTGTTGTTTGTTGATGATTCACCCATTTTGTTCTGGGGAGGTAGGGGGTCATCAATTTACATACATAATTATATAAATTTTTTTGGGGGCAGTCACATTGGGGGCTTCTCCATAAAATCATCATCTTCCATAAAAACATCATCACACACACCACACACACACACACACACACACACCAACCCCCTAGCCATACATTATGAACGGTCCCTTAGCAGAGACTTTCTTCATTTTCAGAAACTGTTGCAATCTAGACTTGCCACACATTCTAGACTGCATTGGGTATATTTGTTCCAGGGTCTGTATGGCCGGAGACCATATAATAGGTTATCATATGTTCTCTAGTATGCAGACTAATGCGACCTGGCTTTGAAGGTTTGGCGTTATTAAGTGGGCTTAGGAGTGTTTGACGTGTTGATGATCTAATGCTGGGGATGATGATTTGGAGATTTAACGTGCGCTTTCCGACATAATGAGTATTTAGCACATGATCTAATCGTACTGGGGTACTTTTTGTAAGTAACACCGGATAGGCTGAACCGCCAATCAAATTCATTGTTCGTTTTCCATTGGACTTCCGGCCAATGGCGCCGAGTTCAATCTTGTAAACATGCACGGACACATCTGTCTATTTCAGCACAAGTACACTAGCACATAACTAACAAATGTCTGCATAGTCCATAACTAAATAAAATATACATGTAAGTCTGTTGTCAGTTTGCATGTTAGTAGATAAGATTTTGTCATTCAGAGGATCGTGGTAATAGATTGGTATTGTTTTCAGTCCTGTGTTGACAGTTTAGCTACGACAATCGCATGGCTGCACTCGTATCTGCATGTCACAAATTAGTTTGAAAATAACAATGACATAATTATCTATACTTTCATACACACGGTGTTTAAATTTAAACAGTTACTATATTGGTAGTTGCAGGGGCCTGGTTGTATTTTAGCTTAATTGTCTTTTAATCACCCGTGGACTTGTGTCAGGGCAGGTTCTGACATGCCCGACCAATTGCTGCAGAGCGGCGGTTTTTAGAACTATCAGACAAGATCACGTTGTAAATACTAGGATACTACCATTGACGATACTGGAGAAAGTCGAATGATATGTACATTTAACATGCTGGTATAGCGTATGATATACATGTGAAATTTAAGAGTGGAATATTGTGAAATGTGAAGACTGCTCTATGTTTGGTTGTTGACGAACCCAAGTTACCAGGTATGTGACAGGCGTTCTTTTGGGCCACAACAAGAACATTAATTTTCTGAGTGTGTCTTTATGTTTGTGCCTGCTTGATTTATGTAACGTGATGATTACCATGCTAATGTTGTATGAATTGTATTTAAAGGTTAATGCCATGACTTGTGTTGTGGAAGGTTTCCCATATCACATGACAGCGCAAAACACAGACCTATTTTACAGTATATGTTCGTTTGATTCTGTATAAGTGTCATGTACCCTACTATTACTGGAAGAGTCATCTTGATTGAGTTTTAATATACTAGTATAAAGTATGTTTAGTAAATGCCACAAAACCCTTTCCACATCCATAAGAAATCCATGCTAAAAGCAGCATCGTTTGTACAATTCTGACTATATTATTATCAACGAGTGTTTGTTTGTTTGTATGTTTAAAGGTCACATGCAACGTAAAACACAACTTTGCAGATTCTGATACCTTTCGGTATGGACTTACCGAAACAAAGCGTCAAAAATGCAAATTCAACTTAGAAAGTTGAAAAATAACGCGATGAAAAAAAACACGCGAAATCGGAGTTCAAACGTTTCACTAATTTTCCCCAGACTTTTTCTGGGGAATACAGGTTTCAACAGCTGGGCTGCGCTCAAAGCATGTGCGCAGTGAAATAGGTTCGCGCAACTTGGAAGCGGGCTGTCTGGTGAATACTCGGTGAAGGCTTTGGTGTGAGCTATTTTCCTAATGTTTTGTTGATATCTCACGAAGTAGCGAGCTTTTATATGTTATGACAGTAAATAAACTGTTTATATAATTTCATTTGTCTATTTCACCACACGTTCTTCTTACCGAGTCACTTTCTCAGTTCGATACTTAAAAGCAATGTCATTATTTAGCGTTGACAGAATTTCTAACTGTGATATAGATATGTCGCTGTCACAGACAAAACTCCATGTCTTATTTTATTGACACCTGTGTGTCTGCCTGCCTGTCTGCTAATGACAATATTCAATACACAACTGCGATCACTGACCACATGCAATTTGAACTTAACACCAATCAGGCTATACACCATAAACAAAACGCATTGATTTATGGCCCGAGTTCGGTCTCTGTCACATTATGTAATTTCACAGACAGGCAGGTGTGATACTTGAACACATGACATGTTATGATGTCTGTTGATTGCAAAATGTTATACACAAAAAATGAGCATGTATTTACAAAACCCAACATGAGCCGTGAAAGCGGCATCTGCTAATGAACCAGCCGTTACACTTGAGTGCACACCCACCCGCTCTGACTGCTTCGTTTCGAGGGAGGTAAACCCAAGTACAAAATATTGCACTTTTGATTTGCGATTATACGCTTATAATTTTGTTTATTTGTTTTTTCATAATCAGCAATGCATATTATATGTCATGAAGAAGTGATAATTGTGTTTTAATTATGTTTGATTTTTTGGTTGCATGTGACCTTTAACACCACACTCAGCAATATTACAGCTGTAGACAGTGGTATGTACATAATAAAATCAGGATCAGACAATCCAGTGATTGACATCATGAGATACCATGATAGAGCATATGTTTATGAGTAATTATCATATAGTGTTCATAACACTACCAGGTGTTTGTGAATGGGTGAGTGTTTCCTGTCCCACCAGTAACACCTGTCATAAACAAATGCAAAGGCTAGTCAATTGTTAACTTGAAAAGGTTGGGGACGTGGTACAAGTCAAAATATTGAATTGCATTTGACATGATTTTTGTTGAAGTTATGAAACAAAATGTTTGTTAAATAACTTAGTTTCAGTTATAAAGTTAGAAGCATGACTTGTGTTAATGTGTGTATTTTGGAATTGTGGAATGCATCTTAATTATGGATACGATATTAACATTTCATGTGCGGTAATGACTCTGAAAATATACTGTATAAATAACCATGTGTAAGTGTTACCGGAAGCTACTAAAGTCCAAAGACTGCCACTCTGATCTAATGTGTAGCACACCTGGTCCTGTAATGGCAGGTCTGTGATGACCAACTGCATCATATTAAAGTATACTTGTTGTTACCCTGCCTGTTGTTAATCATCATCACAAGGTTAACACAGGGACTGATTGGGTTATAGTCCTTATACTGTGCTGAATTGGAGTATTCATGTTAAATGGGTTGGCACTAAAAAATTATCATGAGTCCGTCCTACACACGCACATGAATGCACATTATATACAATAGTGAATGTAATGTTACAACCCAATTTTACTCGCTCATGTGTGTTTTGTGTGAAAAAAACATAATTTTGATAAAACTGGTTTCCCGAGAGTCTCTGGGGTCAGTCCTGCCACACAATGAAGCTCCTGTCACATGTGGTATCCCCTCAGGCAAGTGACTGTTGGTGATATGCTTCTGTTCACGAAACGGTGAAATTGGCTACCTCACAGGATGAGATGATATTGTGACTGTTGAGCATGTAGTGCTGCTCTCCTTATATGCTCCCCAGTGAGTTGAGAATGGAAATCAAGTGCACACTGACCCATCGGTCGAAGTATGGGTGACAGCTTTTGAGCGGGCACCATGTTTATTAGTGGTGGTCCGATTAATTGAAATAATCGAAGATTGGTCGCAATGACTAAACGACCAAGCAATCGATCATGTTTTCTCATAATCGAACACAAACAATTCTAGAACACTTGTTTTCATTTTAACAGTATTTTTCACTAGGTTGAATTTGTCTGTTACATTTCATAAGCACTACAAGCTCGTTGAAAGTCATGATTGAATTTATCTTAAAGACTCTATAAGAAATTTACGTTCCTCCATACTAGTCATCCTTTCAAGATGTGAAATTTTGCCAAAAAACCCCCCGAAAGAACTACATGTTTTTTTCCTTATTTTTTGTGTGCATTAACACATTTCATAAAGGATGCTAACCAATTATTTTCGATGATTGATCGGTTGTAATGAACCAGTCATCAGTTATGAGATTTTAACCAATTCCCAACACTAATGTGTATGGAGTCTTGTGCCATATAAGTACATACATTGTTGTTGTCGTTGTCATTGCTGTCATCTCTATTAATGTAGTATTCTTCATTTGGTGTATTTAATATTTTCCATGGAAAAGGACATGGCATCATTTCTGTTTATTGTTTCTGATTGGTGAATGTAGATAGAATCAAAACCTGAGCAACTCTTTACTAATGCTGATAGTTTGTTTTGCATGTATTGTTTATGTTTAAGTATACCTGAGAACTATGATTTGAAGTCCTATTTGAAGCAAGAATCCTTGATTGATATTGTGAATGTTGTGTTTTTCAGGCGTGTCTTGTACCCTGCTCACTGTTGCATGAGTTTCCCATCACTGGGAGTGAGGCGTAGTTTAGTCCTCCCCTTGCACCCTGAGGAAGATGTCAGTTGAAACTGTTGTGTTGTGTCTGGCACTGTGTTGACCACCTGATCTCTGTGTTTCCCTGCACTTGTTGTTGTGAATGATGGCTGGTGGTGGTACCTATTTCTCCAGTGAGAGTGATGAGTATTATCTCCCCTCCAGCAGGCAGAGGCGCCACCCCCATGACATGGGCGACATGGATCCGCGGGTGCAGGAGCTCACTGCCAATCTACAGGTGAGATTGCAATGCAGTGTGGTTGTACCTATTTCCATGGTTAATGTCACAGATGAAATATGAAATAGTGTCCCTTTCTTCAGACCGTAACTTTGATAGGGATTCTGCCAGGATCACATTTTACCATCATTCGTAACTCCTCGTGTCTCGTACCCCTCTCGTGGCCATGTTTACGACTGGGCCCTGTCTAAGCGCGCAAACGGGCATGGAGATGAAAATAGTCTAGTACTATTGCCAAGGAAAGATAACTCTGAATTTCCAAACATGGCTCCTAGAATATCTACGTCCCGTGGGCAAATCAGCAATACAGTCGCTCCCTTTGTAAATATGTTTCAGTGTTTAAAGTTTCTGATCCTTTAGCTCAAAGTTTATGTTTAAATTGTGCTTTGCATAGTTTAGCGAAGTTTCAAACTACAACGGTGCCACCATTTTCATGCTTCGATATGTGTTTTACTACACAAGATTTGATTGGTTTGCCACGACTCTTGGCAATAATGGCGTACGATAGGGGTACGAGTCTTCTTGTAGGTCATGGAAAGAGGCGAGTAGTTACGAATGATTTTACCATATGCTAACTACTTATTCACCAGATAAGGGGGAAGAGGTAGCTAAACATACATAATGTATCCATAAAATGTCATGTGTATAAGCTGACGTTATTGTTATGTTACATTAGGACCAGTGTTTGATTGAGTCTAACTATATTCTGAATTACCAATACTCATTATATAATAGTGACCAAAAAATGAAGGATCAGTCAGTTCCATGGTTCTCATGTTTTTTTTTAGGCATTCATGTGACTGAAATAATAAAATACTTTTTCTTAATCAGTGATGTTTGTCAAAATAGATTTATTGCAAATAAGTGCATGTCTGTGATTACTTTTGAAACATGGAATCTATTGCAATGCCAATGATGCATGTTGTTCAATGTCAGCACATAGAAAGGTGGTCAGATGTCAAGTTATGTTAAGGGAGATAACTCTGTATTTCCTATTTCTATAGTTTACCTATCAGTGCACCAGTTTCATACTGGGTGACAAAGGTGTGACAATGGTGTCCCAAACTAAAGTTGTTCTGGCAAAGCTTCGATCTACATTCATCTAACTGTAATTTGCTTGAAAAGAATGTATCATGTACAGAGAAAACAGGGCATTTTGTACACTACACATAATTGATTTTGTAAGTTACATGGTGTTCACATGTAGTTTTATTCACTGATGAACTGATTTTAAATGAAAGTAAGTTACAATATGCATCCTATTATTATCTAAATAAAACATTTCATTATTGGCATAAAGTTACAGAAAAGGCTATTATTCAGTTTAAACTGATACTGCACTTGAAATAAGGTAAACACGTGATTGTTTCATGTCTTAAATTTATTCATTCGTACTTGAAAAGTGCCAATGACTGCATGTTATATTTTAGCACATTCAACAATGACAAGAACATTTCAGCAAATTATAAAGAAAAAGTTTTTATATCTGTATAACTGTTTTATTTCATCACACATATTACCCATCTATCAGACAAATTTGGATAAAGACACAATAGAGAAATGATTTTAAAGACATAAAATGCCACAATTTCTCAGTATTGATATACTCCTCATTAGGAACTCAAGTGTATCATGTAACCCTTGTTATATTTGGGATTACACTTTCTCAGTAAAGTACAGATTCAAACACACACCGTCAGAGTCAGGCACCTGATCGCCAGCACACAAAGTCAGACGTCTATCCTACTCAGCCACTGCTGTGTCCTCCAAAATGGAAGTCGGACAACTGGTTATGCTCTCAATTAGGTTCTTCATCTGAGGGAGTGGTTTGAAATCCCGGATGGAACTCAACCAGAACTACGTTCTAGAATCTGTACTTTACTGAGAAAGTGTAATCCAAAATATAACATGTGTCACATTTGTAGGGCTGCGCAATATAACCGGTTTACCGGTATTTACCGATTCAGACATGAAAACGATATGTATTGCGATATGCTGATCGAAAACCGGTATTTTGACATGCATTAGGAAAACTTTGTAACTCTCGGAAATCTTCAGATATTTCCGTTTTTCACACTGGTCAAGTGTTTCGCAATGTTTTGGATCTGGGTGTTTTATTTACTCATTAGTGACCAGTGATGAGTGATATGTTGTAACCAGGTCAAGTTGCTGTCTAAAATCTCACAGGCTTTTTTTTTGAGAGTGGAGAAAACTAGTTCAACTAGTAACCACTGTGTTGATATTAAATTGTTCTTTTCCTTGTTTCATTTGTGCCAAATATTATTTACATTTATATTTTGTCATGATTAAAGGTTTTAATTAAAGCTAAATCAGCATGGTGATTTTGTTGTGTTTTGGCTTTATAAAACAAGCGTTAACTCGATTATAAGGAGTTTTTTGGTTAAAAATTTACTTCTTGCAATATATTGCAATACATATCGCAAGATATGCTTTCGCATCGCAATATATCGCAATATGAAAATTCTCTGCAATACCCACCCCCTACACATTTGACCACTTTCTGAATGGCATTGTGTATTCTTTGTGTGTCATATTGCACTTTCTGCAACTGCAGTCACAACTGAAGAGGAAGTCAGAAAATATCGGTACTGAAGATCTGACATTTTATGCTCTTGTATTAATTTGATGATCTTTTCTAGGTGAACTTTGTTGCTCCAGAAATACAACCACTTGTTCTTACATTAACAGATCTCAAGTCCTTTTGAGTTCAGTCTAAGTAAACTTAGGCTCAGTATTATTCGTTACACTGCTATACTGAGTCTAAAGTAACCTTTGAGCGACCTATGACCGTCCAATAAAACGTGTGACGGCCGAACGGATTTAACCAATCAGACAACGGCTACTATTTAGGGTTTGGCGGGACTTACAAAATGGATTTTCTCTTCCCCGGTCGCCAACACTGATCTCATAACAAATGAAACCCGCATAAAACACAGATATATGACCTGCAGAATATACGCTTTTGGGTTTCTGTTGACACGGCTATCATTAGCTAATATTTCCACAAGCTGACATCCTTGAATACTGACAAAACGCTATTCTCAGCGACTGTTTACTCACTCTTGTGGCGTGCTCCATGTGCATCACTCGGAAGCGATCGTACGCAAAATAGCATTCGGCATCGTTCGGGTACAAAACCTTTTCGAGGTAAATGTTCGAAAGGTATGTGCGAATGTCAACTTTCGCGATTTGGTAAGCTGTGTTCTGATTGGTCCACTGAAAAGGTCAGCTGACGCGACCTTCCACAAGGTTTTGTTAGACTCAGTATAGCAGTGTAACGAATAATACTGAGCCTAAGTTTACTTAGACTGTTTTGAGTTCTCCTTGAATAATACTTTACACAGACAGGGATTTAACTGGAGTCCTGTATTTGAGGGTCTGTGGGACTCATACACTTAATTTTCAGGGGTCCTGGATAACAAAATTGGGGTCCCAGACACTTAAATATTATTATTAATACTGTTATTGTATTGTGTATCATGATCATCACATTGTTACAGTAATTAAATTGCAAATGATACCTTAACCCAGCTAGTAGCAAACTCGGTGATAACTTATTGGTACTTGATTGGAATTTTTTACAAAAGTATTTGGACTTTTTCTGCGTCCCTGTGCATGTGCTGATACATTTTGTTGCGTCCATTGTCAAATTTTATGCGTATAGGACGCAGGAATTCACGTCCTGTAAATCCCTGACAGACATTTCTTTAGTGAAGGAAAGCCTGTTTGTCCAAGTTCAGTTCCTTTAAGTACATTTTGACTAAATGTTTTTTTGAAAGTAAAGGACGAAATTAAAAACAAATGTTTGATTTCCATTAATTTGTTTCACTTTTGAGAAAATTTATTTAAAATATATATATAGCTGGGCAATACATGTGACTCTTATATTTTATATAATGACCTCACTTAAATTTCAGTGGGAGGGAATTACTAAAAAACTGAGGTTTGTGTAGTAATTTTAGTATGCAGATTGATGAAATATATAATGTTATGTATTTCATTGCTGATGAATATGACTGCTGAAATGAAAGCTTACTTCTCTGATTGGTTCAGCACACCACATGTGCAATAAATCAGCTGTATATCTCATTGAACAGACTGAATATCTTACAGCATTGACCACCAACTGTGTGCCCTCACTGACTATTGAAGCACTTATGCTGAGATCTATAGCTGTAGAGAATGATCAGTGTACAGGAAGATATAATGTCACATTTATTGTTGTCAGACAAAGGGCGTCACTTGTTGATATAGGACTAGGGTTATCAAATCATAAGACTTGAGAAAGGAATACAGTAGACAGAGCAAGTTTTGTATGGGCACTTCTGGAAGGAGGTTTTAAAACCTTCAAAGGATCATCTTTACAAACACACAGGGTTCAAATTGATATAGCACAGAGACTCCGCTCTCCCTCTTGTTTATGGCATGTGCAGTAATCGTTTTCTTACACTCCCATGATCATAGTGGTGCATTAAGACATTACATAAAAAACTCATGTGTGACAAAACCTGGCTTACTGCTTATTATTCGTACCTAGTGTGAACCTCTACAAAAGTAACGTTTCAGTTATATCTGTGGGTTATCATGGCAATGATTATAATACAAACTAGATAAGGTAAAAAAACATGTATTAAACACTCTAAACAACATTTTCAACACAGACGTATGTAAATTTGATTGAAGCTCAACAATCTCATTAAATTCAGATCTTAGTTCTTGCTATGACTGAACAGAGATGTGAGGACAGCCCATTATGAACCACATCAGAAGGATGAAACCTTGGAAAGGTAACACAAGGTATTCTACATGACAGTAACAGCTGTACGACTGATCCTGTTGAAATCATTGTATACCTCTCGCTTCAATCAGACAAACATTTGAAATGAAAGAGTGTTTCCAAAGCCAATGTTAAGTACTGCCATTACTATATCATCCATGTGTAGGAGGATCAAGGATTTGCTTTTGTTCACTTTTCAAAT